TACGATCGTAAGATTTTCGATCGAACAACAGGAACGTTATTAGGAGGTAGGGATGTCTTGCAAGATTCGTACAGGACGAATCATCGAATCCCGTTTATCACGGATAACTTTCTAAAAGGAAAAGAAAAAAAAAATAGCAGAAGAAAGGCTAGTCGATCCTTCGAAATCTCCTTGGATAGAAAGGCAGTGTTTGTTAAAGCTGGAACGGCTCAGGTGTATCGTACACGAGAAACGATGGCCACGTGCGGACTAGCAGCGTGTTGAATTTTCGAAGAGCACGCGTTAATCCGTCTCTGACTGCGTTTTACGCAACGAACGATTACCTGAATCCTTAAAAGGGGGAAAAAAAATATTAATTGATCTCTCCGGTTGCATCGTAACGGGAAGTCTAGGTAGAAGAGTGAAAAGCAATATCCAGGGAGGGATGCGACGAGAGAGTGGTTCACTGGCATCCCAGCTTTTCCACCGACAGCGCATTACACGGGAGAAAGGTCATCCCACAATCTAATAAAAAATTATCCACCGTACTGCTCTCGAGCAACGTTATACGGTACAATGATCTTCAGCAGGTAGCACAAAGCGGTGGCTAATTAAAGAAAATGAGTAAATAATTCGTGTCGATCGCGTGTCGATCGCGTGTCGATCGCGTGTCGATGAAAACAAGCCATCAGGGAAGAAATCGTACTCCGCGTGCCATAACTAGGGTACTACCCTTCAAATTGTTTAATTCCGAGCGATACGTTTTACGGTGAATTAACTTTTATCGTGAAAGTGGATCGCCTAGAAACGACTTTATAACGTACTAATAACATAATAGTAGGTCCCTCTTTGGTCGCGGTAAGTTAAAAGATTCGATACGATACGTAATCGATTATTGTTCTTTAATCTTGATCCATTTACACGGAATCGTGCCTTTAACTTCGATATAGGAGAATATTATTCGTCGAAAGGACGTACGATGCATACGAAACGACACGATGTATATTCATGAACGATCGAATAACGGCTGCTCCCTCGATTTCCTTGAAGTTCAAAAAATTCTAAATCTATTACCCAGTTCATCGGCATGTCGACAGAGCATGCCGAGGCAAACAACTTTTTCGCTCGTTCAATGATGATCAAAACTCCTCGGATGCTCTTACGCGGTATTTCGTGTCGACGGTCGTCTTCGTAGCCGCGACGACCTTCGCTCGCGAGTTCTTCACCGGAAGATTCCGGCCTACGTATCGATCGTACGAGTTTACCCCCCTCGGACTATCCTAGATCGGTGCTCGATTCTTCTTGGATAGTCTTGGTACTAAGTTATCCTTCGACTCTTGGTCGAATTTAAAAAAAAATTAATTCGATTAATTCGGTCCTTCCCTCGTCTATTAACAATTCATCGGCGAACAACGAATCGACGAACCCTCGACAAGAGTAGAATCTTGATCGATGCGCATCGGCGCCGAATCTCGCGAAATTATTCACGTCCTGTCGAAGAACTGGCCGGTTGCGGCTGAATTGTTGGCAAAGAGTTCGCCTAGTTGGCGAACCGATCGAACGACCTTATCCTTCTCTGTTGCCTCTTCCAGATCATTGCTCGTTTCACAGGTGGCCGACACGATACTGGCGTGTTTCGTCACGTGTCGAAGCAAGCTCGTCTTACGGGTGATTAACTGGGGCGACGTCGACTCATGCTCACGCCTCCGCTCTGGCACGCGTGCACCAGTCACCAGGCACCGGGTCCGCCTGTCGGAGACAAGGGGAACGGGGCTGCTGGAAGCGGAGGGAGCTGCGGGGTAGCTCGAGTGATGCATGAATGAAGGTTGCAGAGGTGGTGGAGTCGAGAACGGAAGAGAGGTAAAGCGACGTCGACATCCCTCGACAGCGGCGAATCGTAGTTGCATCCTTCTCCGTTGCGCCGTTCCGCTGCTCGAGTCTTCTTTCTCTTCATCCCTCTGTCGGTTCGTCCTCGTCCGATACGCGTGTCTCTCGTCGTTGGTCGTCTCTGTCCGTCGGTGACCCACGCGCATGTATACGGATCGCGATGGCGCAACCGATACACGATGACGTAGTTGTGATACAGTTCCAGAAGATGCGAGTTAATTAGCATTATTTCCAGACCGATGCTCGTCTAGAAGCCGAGGATTTCCGCGTTCGCGAGATTGCGCGTCCGTGCGTCAATCCGGCTGGTCCGTTCACGGATTCGATCGACAAACGGAGATGAATAATTGCGAATCCTATCTCGCGAGATAATCGAACAGCGTCTACGGTTAATCACGATTTGTCCGGGAACGAGGTCCAGTTTCGACGATGTTCGTTTCTCGTCGAAGCCAGAAAGTTCCATCGGATTGATAAATTTCACGAGACAGGAAGACGCGACAGTTATTTCGAAATAGCGACGTTTACCGCGAAATAGCGACCAAGCGTTTTCAGTTTATCTATGTATCGTCCTTCTTTATCTACAACTGTTCCGTTCTAACAAGCTACGATTCCAATTTACGCGATACGTTTGGGCGACACAGTAGAATCGGCGACTGCGCTTTAGGGGAGCTTCTCACGATCAGCCGTGGGCCACCTGTTTCGTTGCGTCACTTAACCATCTCAATGATTCATCCGCCAAGTATCAATTGAAATATCACATCGCGAAGAAGGGGGTTAACAAACGACATAACCCGACCAACTTTATTTTCATCAATCGGTTGTCACTTCGCAGAATCCGTTTTTATCCTCGCTTCGTCGATAATTTAAAAACGGTTATCGGTGTCAGCCAGTGGCTCGCAGCCATCGGTAGAATTCGCGAAATCAACGAAAGTGAGCCAAGAAACAGAGACGAGCGTCGAAAAGAGAAGTCGTCGGAGGATGAAAATAAACTGAAAGAGCAACGGAGACGATTCGGGAAGGACAGAAACGTTCGAAAAGCGGAAGGAGATTTTCTCGCGGAAATGTAAAGCTGTGTCCGCACTGGCGTACGCGAAGATACGCGTGTCGATACTTTGAACGCTTTTATGAACCGCGAACGACTCGTAGGGAAAGATGCGCGCCGAGAAAGTAGCCGCGACTCGAGAAGCAAAAAGAAAACTCGTGGGAAAAAAAAGAAGGGCGATTCGCGAACCGACGCGACGTAGACACGGGTCTCGGAAGTATCGAACGACGATCGACAAGTATCGGTAATCGGTTCCGAGGAGCCGAATAGACGCGGCGCGGTGGTATGAACGCGACATAAGAAGAAAGCAACGGTGATCCGCGTGCCGCCGTTGTTGGGTCGGGTCGGGTTGGGTTGGTTTGGGTCGAGAGTTACGCGGGGTTGGATACGCGGGATGGAGGGAGACGGGTGGATCGGTAGGTGGTGTGCTGACGTCACCGTAGCGGCATCGTCAGCTGCGTGGGCCAATAGCGACGCTCACTCCGAGCCAGGTCCATCGATCCAACGGCTGCTGTCGTGTGTATCCCCGGGTTATGACGTCCGAAGGTGACGTCATCGT